AAATATCATTTCGAAATAACAATGTGGTTGTTGATGATGATGAAGGCGGGATGCCAACACATGGTACTGCAGTAGACCGTGAATACATGACTCAGTTACAGGATGAAATTGTTGAGCAGTTGATGCACAATATAGATTGAATTGTTTTAATTGAACTTGTTATTATCAAACCATTTTTTTATTGTATGACTAATTTAGTTGCATGAATTTTATTTTCAGTATTGTATGACTATTATTATTAAAATTTTGGTGTTGAAAATGATTTTAAGTTTGTAAAATCACTTTATCTAAAATTCAATTTATTTCAACAGTCTGCAGACGTTAAAATATAAACAGTCTTCTTATTGCAGATTGCAAACGTTTGGTCCGCTTCTTCTGTTGTAGAGGCTTACAGATGTGGTCGCAGACTGTAGACATTTTGGCTTTAGAAAAAACCAACAACACATAAATATTTGTCTGGAAGTGGTGATGATGTGGCGTTAAAATGATGTGAGGTTAAGATGATGAGACATTTTAGAGTAATGTATTGTGAATAAAGCTTATGGTCTTAATGTTCATTGTATTGTCTTATGGTGGTTGAAACATTCGTCGTTGTTAGCCTCAGGTAGAAAAACTCATTTCTATAAACGTTTAAGTTTTGTAAAAAAAAAAAGTATTAAATACCTAGAGATAACATATCTTAGCTACAGAATAACCCGCTGCTATGAACGTTTAAAATACCAGGGGTGTTACTCTATATAAGGCATGAATATTTGATTGTTGTAAAATGATTAACTTCTCATGCTTTTAAAATTTAAGCTATGGAGATCGAAAGAAGCTTTGAGCTTAGGTCATCAAGATGACTTCATGTTTTTGAAGTCTTCATAATTTGTTGACGCATATTCACTTATTACAAATTTACAAGTATGTGTTCATTAAAAGTATTTTTGCCAAAACGTTCATGATTTGCTACACAATGTATGGATTACACAAAAATTATAGTATTGATTTAAAGATTGAATAAATTATATTCAATCTTATACATCCTTATTGAATTAGAAAAAAAATCACACTACCAATGATTCAAAATCTTCATAAACAAGATTATAATGTATTATTATATTGCCAAAAGCCAACCTATATATGAAAACATGTCAACATTAGTGTTTCTTAATCTTTCTAAGCAAAAACAAAAAAACCTTCTCAAATTTTCTTCAAATTATGTTAAGTAGTAGCCACCAAGATCCTCAATAAGATAGTTAAATCCCATGTTTCCTCCATAATCACTATCCAATGTTCGTTTCGTTTGGCTCAAATCAGGGTAAACAGTCGCACATCCTTTTCCCCTTCCTTTAAGTCTCCCCATTTGTTTTTGAAGATTGATAACCGATTCATTAGCAATCTTTCCTTTTGGGCTCTTTTTTTTGTCAACAAGTTTTAGTTCTAATCTGTATAGTGCACAAGTATCATACTTGTTGATTTCATATTCATAGAGGTGCCATTCGAGGAACTTCATGGGTTGTGGGTCCATGTAATAGGATCTTTTTAGCCATCCGGATTCATTGATTACTTGTTTTCTTGATTCATGCCAACCTCTTCCGTTGTAATCCGGGAGTGATCTTTGCTTTCTGTTTCCGCTCTCGAATGCCCTTCGCGGTTTATCGAAAAATAACCATTCGCGCAGGGTTTCTCCCTCAAAAACCGCGAGATCAAAGAGCTCTGGAAAAAAAAAAGTTCACTGTTAGAAACAATATTATTGGACATGTCACGACAGTACATAACATATACTATATAGAGTGTGTTACAGTACTATGTTTGACATGTATTAGACTATGAACGAGACTCATGTCAATGAGACAAAAATTATACTTTTTTGTCATACCCAAAAAAAGTGAAACAAGGTGGGACATGGACTTGTCCTTGATCTCTCACACGTGAAAAAGATGAAAATACCCTTCTCGTCATTTTCATTAAAAATAGTCCTAGAAAGCTTGTTCAATCTTGTCATATTGGAGGCGATAGGCCAGACTCAACAAGCTTTCTAGGCTATTTTTGATGAAAAGGACGAGAAGGGTATTTTTGTCTTTTTCACATGTGCGAGATCAAGGATAAGTCCATGTCCCACCTTCTTTCACTTTTTTTAGGTGGGGCAAAAAAGTGTAATTTTTGTCGTGTTGACATCAGTCTTGGTTATAATCCAATAACAAAATACGAACAATGTCTGTTATGTCCAGTCATGTCACGTCATAAAACGAACAGTTGAATAGCAAGAAAGATGAGTAGCCTCACCGGGAGCATTCCATGGTGATTTTGCAGTGGCTGCACCTTCACACTCTGGAACACCAACCGTTTTCCCCTGCGCTTTTGCACAAAGCGCAGCAAAAAGCAAATTATCCTTCAACTCAATGCCTTTAGGTCTTATGACAGGTGTCATCCCAGGTTGACCTTCATTTTGAGCTATTGTAGCATGCAAACCGCTGCAATAATTGGCGCACCACCATTGAACCGCCCTCTCAGAGCACCACCCTTGAACCGGTCTGGGACAATCCCAAAGAGCACATTTTGGTCCCAAAAAAGCAGAAGGTGGAGGGCAAATGTTAGGCAGATAGGTACCGATTTGAGGTAAACCATCTTCACCCCACATACCATAAACCCCATCATTACAGTTTTGCTCAAATCCACGTGGCATATCAAATGATATGTAATCAAAGTGTGTATCTACACCTGGATTATGTACTCCTGTTGTGTTTATCCCAAAAGACGTATCTACCCCTTGTTCTTGACACATCTGAGTTGCAAGAAAGCTCTGTAACGTTTACGTAGCAATTTCTTATATGTTTTACATTGATCTTTAAATCTAGTAGATCATGTAAGAATCAGAAGAGAAAATATTCACCTTGTGGAAAGTACTAGTAGCATTTTGAGTGGCGTTTTGGGCATCTGGATCGGGTTTTGGAGCAGCCAACCCACTGGTTGCATCATCTTCTTCATCATAGAGTTGCAATAACCTACTTATGTCTGGTGAAAAGGATCTTAAACTTGCACCCTGCATCAAAAATCCATGAAAGTAAATGAGAGCACACATTCAAACTGCTGATTAAATTCAATAACATCCTAAAAATTAAAAACACATGGAAATAGAATATAGCTATATGCCATACCTGTTGCAGAGAAGGAGAAGGAGAAGGTTCGTTAAGTTCTTTCTTCCATTCCTTGAGCATCTGATGAACTTGTTCCTCGAGTACAGCCATGTCGATGTTACGGCTGTCCTTCCTTGCAGATTGCAGATCCATGAACATGCCTTGAAGATCATCAACGCGGTTCATAGCCCTGTCTTTGAATATCCTGTGTGATTTTGCACCTCTCCTCATTCGACGAAGAGAATGATATGACGTAATTTCTCTCTCTCTTCTCACCAACAATCACCTGCAAAAATTCAACACCAAAACCATCCGATTTCACAAAAACCCGATAAATCTAAAGAGAATTGTAACTCAGAATTCGATACAGTGTTCGATACACCAATATAAAATCACAATTTCTCAATCAAACTACTAGAAACGAACTTGAATCAAACAGGAAACAGAAATAACAAAATGTCAAGCAAAACCAACAAAACTGAGATTAAAGATTACTTGTTTTGATATTCAAGATGCGGATGAGTTAGAGATTTAGCAAGAGTTTGGATCATAAAAAGAGAATTTGGTACCCTCCACCTCAAAGTGGTCAATTGCATCTCGGCGCCAAAAGTTCTTAGGGGAATATATATACGTCGAACGAACTGTTTCATTAATATTATTTTCAAACTTTACTTTTATTAAAATGCAGTAGTATAACTTTTAATATATATATATATATATATATATATATATATATTATATATATATATATATATATATATATATATACGTTTTTAATAATTTAGGTGTTGTATAATTATATAATTTGAATATTAAACCATATAAGTTTTATCTAAAAACACTTTCAGATGAAAATATTGTGATATAAGCCAAGTAGCCCCAAGTGAAGTTCGAAAAGGTAAAGACTTTAATCAAATTAAAATAATCATAGCAAAATTTTTTTTTTTTTTTGAGCTTTTTTCATTGCTACAATCTCTCGGTCAAAAGAACAAAATAAAAAGGGACCCTAATGTAATATTGGGTCTATGATTTATTCGTCCAAAATTTATAACTTTTCGAATCTAACAAAAATCGAAGATGCGTATTACTTAATTGTTTATATAATAAGTATACTAAATTAAGGAAGGGTTCATTTGCAATGGAGCTATTTTTGTAAGATATATGAACATGTTTTTTGATATACATTCGGGGGTTAAAAGAAATCAATATATAATATTCTATAATAATATTACAAAGGTTACGTAGGATGTCAAATTGAGGGCAGGGAGGACAGAGGCAAGGTTAACCCTCGTTTTGATTTCGAAGGGGGGGGGGGGGGGGGGGGGGGGGGGGGGAAGGGTGGTCAATGTTGCTCCGATTCTCCATGGGAACCATCATTAAAAAGCATAAAATTGATTGAGTAACATTTTTAGAAACAAATTTAAAGAAATGTTTAGAAACAAACCCAATGAAATATCATTGTACTTTGAGGATGGGTGATTGGGTAATATCTTTAGAATCAAAATGCATGAAGGTTCTCTTTAGCAATTCTTTTTTTTTTTTTTTCCTAACAAGATAATTCTGTTTATATTCATATTATTGGTGACAATTTTGATTTATTTATTTAAAACCAAATGTATTTTGAGTTATATCTTATCTTAGGTCAAAGTTATCTTTTTGACCTTGTCTAAATTTACCGGCTCCTTTTCATCCATTCATTTCCTAGTAAATAAAACTAAAGATGAGAGAAGATTGTGTGGGATGACAAGGGCCAAGGGGAAGATTAGAATAGCAAGAAAGGCATAAAGGAGTATACCATCTCACAACCATTCATTAGATTCTTTGAGGGCAATTCTTGATGCTCCAATTCCATATACAAAAAGCCTTAAAAGCATCACATTTTAGGTTCATGGACTCTATTTTCTATCCACTAATTCCAATTTTCCACATCATTTAAACAAAAATCATTAGGATATAAATGATGCTCTGTATGTTCTTTTACTTATTCTTTGTTAGGCAACGTTACTTTTTTTTTTCTTTAAACTTGAATTAAAGAAAATGTTTTGAAGTATGAATTTAAAACTTTTAATTTAGAACAAAAAACTCGTAATTGAGAAGCTATTTCAATTGTTTTAAGGAGTTTTTTAGCGTGTGTGGTTTCTAACTGCTTATGTAAATTCAGACATTTTAAATGCATACAGTTATTTTTATCAAACACTTCTAACTAATAAGCTTATTGTTTCAGACTTTCAGCTACCAGCTATTTTTAGGAGAAATTACCCTTAATTAATAATGACTTAATAGTGAAATTGAGGAAAACAAGCCTTTCAACGTTAAACGAAAAACTTTTTTAGAGTGTAAGGTATGGGTCTCGTTGAGACTCCTCGTGGCTGAAGTGGACGTCCAAAACGGCGTTGCATCTAGTTGTACCCCCCCTCGCGTTCTTGTTGTGTTGCTTCTCGTGGTAACGACCACCTACAACAGCGGCGTCTTCTTCTTCTTTATTCCTCTGCTTTTCTTCACCTTAACAGGGTATAAAATGAAAACACCATCCCCTAATCTCGTTGTGGAGAGAAGATGATGACGTGGCTGCGTTGTGAGTGGGTATGGGTGTTGCCCATACCCTATCCTCTTGCAAATTTGTTCTCATTTATTTTTTACTTTTATTTCTCATTTCCTCAAATAGTTAACCCAACATTAAAAAGAATGAGCTCATAAAAAGCCTACAAGATAAGAATACTATAGTATTGACCATTCTCTATCCTCGATTTGGGATTTCACTTTTTTAAGTAAATGAGATCCACAAGGCACAAAAACATCTTTTACCTCTTTTTATATAAATAAAACCCACGTAAGAAAAAAGTATATAACATGATCGATCAGAATATATCCGACTTTTTCAAGAGTATAACAACTATTGAAGAGAATAAGCATCTTGTGCTTCTTTCTTGCAAAATTATACCATGAGCATATCAATAATGCAATGAAGAGATTTCCATTCCACCTACGTTATATTATTTAACATAATCAATCAAGAAAGAACGCAAAAATGAGCTACATTATCTGTTCCAAAAAGAAAACCACTACAAAATTGTCGTGTAAATTGTTATCGGTCTATATTTGAGTTATGGAAACAACCTTTTTTATAGATGTAAAGAGCTTTGTCGAATACGCATCAGTCAAGAATCAAATATAATTGAATTATTTTGTAGCCAAATCAATGGTTAGAAAAACAAAAATCAAGAGAATGATTTTGTTCACTTGACGTTGTTGGTTTGACTACTAGTCAATGTTTTTCCTTTAATGACTTTTTCAAGTTCTTCGAGCTTTTTCATCAGAAACTCCATTTGTTTTGCTATATCTTCATCTCGTTGCCTCATAATCTATAAACCAAAAAAAAAAAAAAGTAAATTACTCAAGATCATATATTATATTAATAAAGAATAAAAAAAAAACAAAATAGCAAGAACAACATAACTTTTAGGATTTAAATCGTTACCTCTATTTCTTGCTTACGAATTTCTTCTCTTTTAGCTTCTGATCTAGCACTTCTTTGCACCTCAAAAATCAACGCACCACAAGCAACCTAATCAAATATTCAAAATCTATAACGACATTAAAATAATTAAAAAAAAAAAAAAAAAAACTTTTGTTTTATTATGAGGAATCTCGTTATATTATGTTATATTTTCTACACAAAGTTGAAAAGAAATATACCGTGAAAACAAAAAGCTCTCCAATAAGGTCCCCAGCTACTTGAACAGCTCTTTCTTCATTCAAAGGTCTAATCTCAACATCCGTTGCATGTCCATATATTCTCCTTTGTAACGTTGTTGTGAGCCTATGATTTGCCTATTATTATATCATATAAATTAAAATTTATCAAATTCCTCGACATAATCCAAGAATTCAAAAGCTAATCAATCGAATAGAATGCAGCCAATGAGTTTGTTCAGCATTTTAGTTTGTGATTTCTATAAATGAAGAACATTATGTTGTTGTAGTACTTCATCCATTCAGTAAAAGATTAAAAGAAACAAAATTTGGTTGTTTAATCGTGGATTATGATCACAAACAAGAACAAAACAATTAAAATCAAATAATAATATGAAAACATCTATAAATCAACTACGAATGTGAAGAAATGCCGATTCTTGTAGTAACAGTACCTGAGCAATGCCGATAATGGAGGTTCGAAATTTGGGGTTAATGGCGGCTTCTTTTTTAAGTCTACTGGCAATGGGTTTGCTTAGGGTTCTTAGTGCAAGCGTCCCAAGCTTCATTAACGGGAGCGACATTACTCCAATTTAGTCACGATCCAACAATTTAGTCTGTCCGAAAGCACACCAAATGCTCGATGATATGCCTGAAAGAAAGTTTTAAGCCACGTTATGTACATTCCATGACAATTCGACTGATGGGAAGCCTATATTTTCTTGAACAGATCGATCGAATTGCGTTAGGTGTTACGAATCGGAGCAGGGATCGAGGGTAGAAGGTTAGTAGCCAAGAAAAAATTGAGGGTTTTTTCAGGTTACAGTAGCGTTTTCTTGACGATGATCGAAATCTGATTTGGGAGGAAAGAACTCTCCTAATGAATCGGAGATGCTGGTGCGTAGTTGAACAATGACGACGAGGATATCTATCTTCACACCCAAACTCACAACTCTTACATGATATATTAATGAACACATATTAAAAATTTAAGTATTATTATGTAAAGTAAAACAAAAAATTAAAACATACGTGTAGCTTATGTGATGTGTCTAAAGTTTAATAAATAACTAGTTTATTATAAATTTGGAATTGCTAATCTTAATTACATCACTGAGGAAGATAAAACTATTACTTAAATGATTTGGGCATAATTTTCAAAGTATATTTCTCCAAAATCATAAGAGATTTTGAGGATTTCTTTCAAAAAGTTCTTACATTTTAGTCTACTTTATAATAGTTTATCCTTTGTTACCCAAATGGAATAGGGTAACCGATTATTTTCTATATTCTTCGAGCAACACATCACCTCAAGTCTTTCTTCTTATTTTTAATGTTAATATTTTGTTCAAACTATCAAAATGCTAAGTTAGAATCCGACAATAAGCACCAACTCGTCGAGTTCCTACTCTCATTTCTCAATTCTGTTTGCTACTACTCGTCGAGTTTGGCATAGACTTGACGAGTTCCTCTTTGATACAAACACTTAGTCAATATGCATCCGACTCGCCGAGTTGTATGAACATCGAGTTCTCCTTCAACATATGAACACCTAGACTGTGACCTGCCGAGTTGTATGAACAACTCGTTGAGTCTATTCTTGAGATATGAAGATTGCCTTGGACTCGCCGAGTTAGGGCATTGACTCGCCGAGCCCCTCCATGAATGAGTCCGATCTCCGACTCACTGAGTCCACCTACAACTCACTGGTTCCACTCGGCATAATACATAGAAGGGGAAAAACTCGAGGACTCACGACTCGACTCGTCGAGTCTGAAGAACGACTCGCTGAGTCGGTTGCATGCAACTTCTATACAGTTGATTCTGCTCAAAACCAATGCATACAACTTATAGATCTGGGTTCTTAAGGCTTGGTTAACATGTAAAGTTTCCAACTTAAAGGCTCAAAAGACACTTAAAAGAGTAGATCTAGGGCTTTCATGCAAAATGGCTCCATAAAGGTATTAGATCTAAGTTTTTGGAACTAAAACATGGCTAGATCCGAAGGCTATTATTCAACCCAATGTGATATCTCTACTATAAACAAGCTAAGAAATGGATAAAATGGCCTAAATGTGATTAATAATGGAGAATCAATCATAGAAACAAAAGGAATCCGATTATTACCTCAATAAACTCTGTAGTGGGTGCAAGATCTTGGATCTCCTTCTACTCTTTTGGATCTAGCCTCCTTCTTCTCTTCAAAACTTCAAGATTCACACAAGAAATGCTCAAAATGCTCAAGGAATGGTTAGGATTTGCTAAATGATGCTTTGAAGGTGAAGGAGGCGAGTTTGGGGCTCATAACATGGTTTAAATAGGGTGCAAAACCCGTGGATCTAGGGTTTCTTCCAGACTGGCGGACTCACCGAGTCCAGGATATGGACTTGCCGAGTTGCCAACTTAAACGTGCTCAATATCTCGTCTCTACTCAGCAAGTTGGGCCTACAACTCGCCGAGTCCCAGCTAAAAATGCAAAAATACTTAGATTAAAATACATACCAGGAACCAAGTGCTACATACAACACACTTAAATTCGACTTCGTATGCATAACATATAGACTCCCGAAGTTTCACGATCAGACAGTGTATTATAGCAAATTAGAGAAAGGTTGTTTATTGGCCTAAGTAATCTAAATAAAAGACTCACTTTAAGGGCCTATATCCATGTATGGTGTCATAAAAATCACCGAGATAGCATTTTTATGCCTCTAACACACCAAAGGGACTAAGATCTAACATTACAAGCTTCTGGAGTTGCCCAACTCACAAAAGAGAGTCCATGGATCTAAAAGAACTCATAAACAAACCCTAGCTCTAACTATCAAATGAAACAACAAGGTATAAGCTTTTTACCTTCAAAAGCTACCTAAGATGATGTAGATTCAGGATCTTGAAGCTCAAACACGTCCAATGCTTGCACACCTATATCTTCTTCTTGCAAACACACCAAAAAGGCCACCAAAGTTAGGGTTTTAGGGACGTTAATAAACAGTGAAGGCTGATAAGGGTGAGGGTCCAAGAGTCATAAGTGAGCTTAAATAGGGCTCATGCTTTAAAATTAGGGTTTTAGCATTTGCTACGTATGCCCCGCTTACGTGGCTCAGGTTCCTGCTTCCACATGCCCATTAATGCTAAGCGGACATAAATCTACGCCTAGCGTATGTGGGGATTCCTTTTGAAATTTAATTTTTGCTTCAAGGGTTAAAAGGGAAAATGCCTGGGTCCAAGTGTTACAGAAACAATCTAAACGAGAATTGAAAATCTCGTTAATAGGAACCCAACAATATAAAGACAGTCGAGATCGGATGTCGAATGAGAGAGTTATGAATTTTTAATGGACTTTAACAATCTAAGCTTGTTAAAAAAAATAAATTTAAAAATGAAGTCAAAATTAACCGGCGGAGTCTAAATGAAAGTTGTAGACATCGTCGATAGCTACTAGTGGATATAAGACCCATTGAAAATGGAGCTTCGTCGATAGCTACTAGTGGATATAAGACCCATTGAAAATGGAGCTTGTATAACCAAGTTATGAATTTTCTAAGAAAAAAGAAATTCTCGTTTGCAGCCGCAAGTATAGAGAGCATGTGCGGGGTACATCAGACAAGTCATAGGATTGTGATACGTGTCCGTTCAGGAATAAGCCATGTCATCTGAGCTAACACATTGTGTGGCACGCAGGGAACATGGTGTGCGGTGCTCATCATTCCTAGGCCTATATATTGGTTCGTTTCCTGCCTCATTTTTTCACACCTCTCACTCATATCTCTTTGGAACTCTTTCTAACCCCTAGCCCTTTTTACTCCCAAGTTCCTAACCCCTTTAGTGAAGCCCAATGGTGTCAGATAATCGGTGAATAGAAACTCCAAGATCAGATTTATGCTCGCATAATCCCATGTTTTCACTAGATTACTCTGTAAGTTAAGCTACGCTTATTTTATTTAACTGTAACAGTTAATTATATTCATAGTGGTTATTATAAAACGATAATTAAGATTTATCAGTGATTCCAAGTCATTATACTGATTAATCTACTAATAGGAGTGATGTCTGGCTTGGATTTAGTGAGGTGTTTAAAGTGACATTTCCAAACATTATACTATGTATACCAAACGGACCCTACCCCGATATGACCATATTTGGTTATTCCTTAATTAATAGATCTTGATGTAGAAATTGAGATTATTGACGAATCTAGACGATCACTAAATAGTCGTCAGGATTATAAAACTAGACTAACTCTTAGAGATTTCTACGTCTAGGTCTCTTTAAAGTGCGAAGAGAAGTGTTGCCGAAGTCATCAGTCACCCATTTCATCAGGTGAGTGCATAGTTCCTTTCATGAACATGATTTATTACAACTATTAATTAAAGTATTAAATAGTTGTTGGAAGTCTTATGTGAACTTTATGCTTATTTTATGGTTTATATGTTAAGATATCTGTATATGTATATGACGTGCTATGTGCGAACTAGATACGGTTATATTTTATGTGTAACATCCCAAAATTTAAGATCAAAAGTTTCGTTTTCATAATAAAAATCATCAATCAAACAAGTTTATGAAATCACAGAGGGAAGTCAGAGTATGTCAAACAATCATCCTAAATACATCAGAGTCAAATAAGGCAGAAATCATGGTGTGTGTGTGTGTATATATAATGCGATCATCTTGAGCTTTACCCTTTTGATCCGGAAGTACCCAAAACATAAACTGAAGACCGTAAGCACAAAGATTAATGAGTTTCCCAAAATACCACATATCATACATACCTGCCATCCCAAAGTTGTGCCATGTCTATTTCAACCCCGGATCTATTTCACCCCAGAGTCTATTTCAACTAATGCGTCGGCCCATAGCCGTAGCAGGTCTATTTCACTCCTAAGTCTATTTCAACTCATATGTCATCATAAGGCTGTATCGGGTCTATTTCACCCCCAGGTCTATTTCACCCCACATACATATAGCAAACATGCAAACAAGCATATAACACATACAAGAGTCACAAAGACTACAAGCACATAACATATCCTAGAGTCCTATACTATAGTGAGCAAAATCACCTCAATCTGCTGTTAGTGGAACAAATGATTGTGCTTTTGAACTGGAAAATCCCCGTGCTAACCAATCAATAAAACCCCAATTAATAATTGGGCCATAAACATTGGCCGACATATATGGAGAAAATGGGGTCCTAGGCCACTACTCCAATTTTGTCCACAAATGTAAAAAAAAAATAATAAAAATAATAAAAATAAAAAAATAAAATAAAATAAAAAATAAAATAAAAAAAAGATTTTATTTTAATTTATATAGGTGCACCTGTTGTCCAAAAAAAATTATAGGTGCAACTCTAATCTTTAAGGTTAGGTAAGCCCACCACCAAGTTAGAAATAAAATATTAGCTCACAGCTTACTTAAACCCAATACCCAATTCTCTAGTTATGGGTGTAGCCATAAGCACAATCGTACAAAGAAGGATAAAAAAAGAGCTCGTCTCTGCCTCTATGTGAAGCTGTGACGGAAACATCAACATGAAGAGAAAAAAAATTCCAAAAAATGTGTACTCGCAAAGATCAAATTTAAATATTAAGATGTAATAATCAGTTTAATGTACTTCTACTTTAAAAAAAATTATTATATTTGGACGATTTTTTTTTGTGCCACTACTATTAAAAATGTATGCGTCCACCACTGGCCATAAACCATAACTGGGAATCTAGTTCATTTGTCCAACACCGAGGGTAAAAGACCATTTTACCCTTTCATCAATTAACCCGGTAACTGAGGCCCAAACTAATGGCACCAAAAGCCCAATATGATCCGAAATACTAAATGATACCCAAAGCCCATTATGGACCCAAATCCAAGAAGGCCCAATGCCCAATAATGTCCCAAAGTCAGAAAGACAAGTGGCCCATCAAGGCCCAAACCCTAATATTCCAAAATGGCCCAAACCATAAAACCCCAAGA